CGGGGCTTCCCCTTCGCCGCCCTGCTGGGAGGCATGGTGGTCACGGCCATGAAATCTAGGCAGTGAGGAGATCGGGTGAGGGGTGAGGCTGTGCCCGCCGGCCTGGGTCCCAGCTGGCAGGGCGGGTTCTGGCTGGAAAAGCAGCTGAAACACCTCTGTGATTAACCTGAAATTTGGGCCGTGGCGTTTTTTTTGATTCTCTGAGAGCTTATCGTCCCGCAGCGCTGGAGGATGCGCCTCGCTCAGGCTCTCCGGCCCCGTCAGACCTCTCGTCCGTGCTCGGTGCTGTCACGGTCGGTTAGAAACTGTGTCCTGCGGGTGATGGGCTGCACTGAGGTGTGGCTTCAGTCAGGCTGTGCAGCAGCGTTTGAGGAGCCAGCTGCCTGGGTAGGAAGGAACAGCTCTGTTCGTGGCTTGACCCTGCTGGGACAGAGTTCACAAGCAGTGGGTGAGTTGTTTGTAATCCGTTCAGTTGCAACCGGTGAGTAATAAATTGAATTGCAGCGAGATTCTGACTGGTAGTGGATTGCAGAGCATTGAGAAGCCAGAAGAGCAATCAGCGTAGGAAGGAGAGGGAGCAGGCACAGCTGCCACAAAGCTGTGGTGTTGCAAGCAGGACACGAGAGATGCAACTCCCTGTGAAAATGAGGTGGAAGCTCGCATTTCCAAACTGGGGCCTGGCAGGTTCTCTGGGACGTGCTGCGGCTTTGGCTGCCTTTGCTGGGGAGTCGGTTCCTGCGCAGCTTCCTGCTTTGCGTGAGCTGGAACCGGCTGCTGAGCAAGTGCCCTGTTCCCAGAGGGAGCTGCCCCGCCTGTGTCCCGACAAACGTCGTCACAAGCGGCTCCAAGTCCCGCTGTGGGCGCTGGATCGTTTGGATCATACCGGGGGTGCTTGGTGAGCACCAGGGCTTTGCTCTCCCGTGTCAGGGCCGCGGAGCGGGGATGAAATGGGGCCGTCGGATCCGTTCGCCGCGCGGCTGCAGCAGCTTGTGCCTGCCTGTAGGCACAGCGCGTCTCTGCAGGGAAGGGGGCACGGACACCGCCGACGTGCTGCAAGGCCTCCTCGCGCTGAGCCACCTTGGGCGTTGCCAGGGCATCTGCGTGTCGGTGCCTGCGCCCCAGCCCTCGCCGCCTGCGGTGGCTTCGCCGCTCGCTGAGCCCGCTCTGCCCTGACAAGCTTCTCCGGAGGACGGGGTGAGGGGTAAAGCCCGCGTCTGCCCGCAGGCGAGCGCTTGGTTTGTCCTTCCCCGGGGGATTGGTGGATGTGGTTCTCCTGCAGCCCCGTCCTTTCCGCTTCGGAGCTGTGGGTTCTCCTGAACACCTGCGCGTGTGTGGCTGGAGCAGAAAGACGACAGTGCCCCGTAGGAGTGGAGATGTCAGTTTATTGTAACAGGTCATTTGAACAGTCACAGATACCGAAGCCGAGGGGATGTAGGACAGCTGTGGGCACGGCTCCCCGGGAGCTGGCTGCTCCTGCCCAACATGGGGCAGCTGCTGCGGGGGCCGCAGGGACAGAGCGCAAGGGGGCTCCCACCCCCAGGGAAGCAGCCAGAGGCGCAGCCCCCAGCTCTGCGCTGAAAGGTGGGGGAGCAGGCAGCCGAGTCCCCAGGTACTCTGCATCGGCGTCCATCGGGCACTACAGCAGAGCTGGAGCACGGGGGGACAGAGCAGGAGCCATCAGCCCTGTGGGCAAGGGGACACAACCCCAGCAGGCAACAGCGAGTGACTGCCTGTGCACCCGCTTCCCCTCCCAGCCCACTGCTGAGCCCCTGCCCAAGCCAGGGGTGCCCAGTCACCCCAGGAGGGCTGCAGCAGCAGGGCAGCTGACCTTCCTGACCCATGGAGCCATAGCTGCAGGGCAGGAGAGCTCTGTATACTTGCTTTTCTGCTGAGCAGGGTCCTGCAGCGAGGCTTGGACAAACATTTTGTGGGCTCTGCTCCGTGTCTCCCCAGCCCGCTGCTGTGGGCCCTTCCCAAGCCCCTGGCAGACCAGACCCGGGGCGCGAGCTCCAGGCTGCCCCGCAGCAGGGCGCGCGCAGGCCTGACCTGCTGCTGCGTGGGAGTTCTGCAGGTGTCCTGGGCTGGGCCTCTGAGCTGGAGGGGATGGTGCCAGCTGTGCCAAGCAGAGGAGAGAAAATCGGTGTTTGGTCAGGAAAACATGTGCCTTGTGGGGCAGGGAGCAGGACTGAGGCATCTCCCCACGCTGCCTTAGGTGTGCAAATCCAGCGGGGGACAGAGAGAAGCCACAGAGCAACTGCAGACAGATGTGCGGGTTGTTCTCTACGGACAGCACAAGACCCAGCACCAGAACTCTGCCCAGTCCTGCTCTGGGCCCCTGGGTCAGGGAGCTGGGGGCTCAACCTGCCCCACAGCAGCTGGACCTTCCTACCTGCTTCCTTGCAGCCACACAGCCTCCCTCTCCCATCCTAGCAGCAGGGGAAGGAGCAGAACAGAGCCATGGGCCCCCACATCCCGGCAGCCCCCATTCCCTCCTGCTGGTGGCCTTGGGGGAGGGACAGAAAACATCCTGCACACTCACCCTGTCCCAGTGCCCTGCACCACCACGCTGCCTGGCACCAGCAGCCCTGCGGGACAGATGGGACGCGGACACTGCTGCTGCTGCTTGGAGCCCCACCAGCTTTTGGGGGGCACAGCCGGGCTGGGGAGAGTTCTGCTGGGCTTGGGGCAACCGCTGGCAGTCCTGGCCCAGCCTGGGTGCCTGCACTCCTCTTCCTCAGTCCCTGCTAGCCTGGCAGCATCCCACTGCAGCCCTGCTCGCTGCAGGACTTAGCAGCGCGGAGCTGAGTCAGGGCTGTTCCTCCACCCTCCCAGCCCCGCACCAGCTCTGCTCCAGACTCCGCGGGAAGCGCAGACGGCAGCCTGGGATCCCACCGGGATCACGGCCTCGGGGCAGGACCCAGGCCCAGACACGGGGCAGCTGCCCAGTGCCAGGAGAGCCGCAGGCAGGTTTATTCCTGGCCCAGGGGTGAGGTGGGGAACACGGGGTGAGGAGTTCATCCCCGCCCTGGGCACAACCTCCAGCAGAGCCCAGGCCCGGGGCTCCCTGGCTACCTCAGCTCTGCCACCCACTGTCCCTTCCCGGGGAAATGCCACAGTAATAAATAAGTGTAAAAAGAGACCGATGCACCTTTTAAGCAAAGGAAAACCATGGGGAGAGTTACAGCCAGTGACTCGAGCGCAGCCCAGGCGCGCAGCAGGGAGCAGGCAGGGAGAGGGCCCTCCTGGGCCGGCCCTACGAAGCTGCCCAGCTCGGCGAGCCTGGCCTTGCCCTGCTGCGCTCCCGGCTGTGCCAGGCGGCGGCTAACGGGACAGGGGCGTCTGTTTGAGGGAGATGAGCACCGAGCGCATCCGCGAGACATCCTTGCTCTGCTTGCTGCTCTTGGGGTTGAAATCACAGAGCTGGGCCACCTTCTCCCACTCGGAGCCTGGGGTTTCCTCCTTGGACTCCTTCAGGAATGCTTCCTCCGAGGCCCTGAGGAGAAGTTGGGAGTTGTCACTGGCAGAATCCTTTCCAAGGAAACCCCCCCCCCTTCTGTCTGGGAACCCCTCATGTCCCCACCTCCTGTCCCCTTGCTCCAGCCGATGAGCTCAGCGTCCTCCAGAATCCAGAGACACGCGATGCTCGAGGCTGCTGGTGGCTGCACTCACCCAAGACATTGTTCATCCAGGGGCATGGGGGTGTCTGCCTGCGCCCAAGACTTCTCCGCCCCCAGAGCTGTCCCCCAAAAGGCACAAGACCCCACGGCTTTGCCTCTTCAACCAGACCCCACAGGGGTATTTCCAGAGCTCCACTTGCCTCCTAAGCCTCCACCATTTGGAGACACTCTGCTACAGCGTCCTCTCTCTGGGACCTCACCAGGGCCCAGTACCTCCCAGCATCCCCCCTCCCGTTGGCTGGGCAGCCAGCGCTGGGGCCAGGACCCCCAGACCCTGCAGGGCAGGATACGGTCTGTAAGAGGCACATACACATAGCCAATCACATCGGCGTCCGGCTGCTGGTAAAAGGCTTTGTCAGCGATCCTAGCCCCCGAGGCACAGACAGAGAGAGCAGAGCGGACAGGCAGGCAGAGGGTTAGGAAGAGAGAAACAGAGAGGGGGTTAGCGTCCTCCCACAGAGCGCGACCAACTCATCACAGCATACGTGGCACCAGGAGAACCTGCCGGCGACAGCAGGGCTGTGCAGACAGTGTCCCAACCCTGCCCCGACGCGAGGCCCACGCAGCGGGCAGGAGGCACCGAGATCCCACTGTGATCCCAGTATGGTCCCAGCCCGGGTGGCTCTGCGCAGCCCCCGGAGCCACTCACAGCCCTGGGGCATCTCCCCTCGCCTGGCAAAGCTCCATCCCTGCAGGGCTGGGCACCACGGCGGGGAAAGAGGCCCCCAGGCATCCCAGGCAGGCAGATCTGGCTGCACAGCAGCTCCCGTGGCAGCCCTCGTGGCCACACTGACTCTGGCATACCTGTTGTTTGCCCGGTTCTTCTCCATCTGCTCATTTTGACGCAGGTTCCACTCCTCCAGGTCCTTCTTGGCCTTCTCACGCCACTCCTGCTCAGTCACCTTCGATGCAGCATCTAAGGGCAGAGCGAGACAGACCCCATCAGCCAGACTGGCACCCACTGGGTCTGCTGGGCAGCCCCCAGGCCTGTCCCCAGTCCCCACCAGTCCTGTCTGCAAGGTGTCACTGCCCCAAGGACAGCAGATCTTTGGCAGGGGCACCCACGTGGCATGGGGCATGAGACACCTCTCTGGGATGCAGCAGGGTCACTGCCACGTGAGGGACTCCGAGGGCCCCGACTGCCACGTCGTGAGGTGCCACGAGCGTGGCCACACACCTCCCTGGGACTCACCCAGCTCCTCCAGGCGCTTCTTCTGCTCCTCCCTCCACTTGCGGATGCTTTCAGGTTCCTGGGTCAGCCGGTCAGCCTTGGCTATGGCTGCGTAGGCGTCCGTGGGGCCGTTGGACTCCTGCAGGACACGAGCACCTCGCCATCAGCACCAGCGCTTCCCACAGCCCAGCCCAGCCAGCTCAGAGGGCCGGCAGCAGGGCAGGACTCCACACTCCCAGCACTCAGACAGACCAAGACAGGGGGGAGGGAGGGTGACAGCCCGGGACATCTGGGACAGCGTCCCCGAAGCACTGCTCAAGCTGCTGTCCCAGCTCCCCGCCCCAGGCCCCGTCACCCAGAAAGACTTCCCAGCGTTCCCCTCCTTGACTTGCTGCTGGCTGCCTGCGCAGCTCTCGTGTCCTCTGGGCAGCCCCACAGCAGAGGCCAGCCACCGGCTTTGTGACGTGTTCCCCACCAGCACCGGGCTTCCCCCGCCCTGACGCGGGCCGAGGCACACTCCC